ACTCATCAGAACCCAACAACCCACGGCTCATGAAGGATGAACAAAGTAGTGAAAAGACACATGGAGCCAGGGTTCAGATCCAGCTCTACTACTTGGTAGCTGTGTGATGCTGAACAGGTGACTTAACTTCTCTGAGCCTAAGTTTTCTTCACTGTACAAGATACGACCATCTGCCTTGCAACTGGGTTGTGCACACGATCACCAGCAATGAAGGTGTGGAATCTGCTGGCTAGTTCCATAAGAACCATTATGGCTGGTCCCTCTCAGGGTCCCCAGCCTCCTGCATGTGACAGTGATGAACATGAGAGTGAGGAGGGGTCTGAGACCATTGGACCTTCTATGTCTGTTCACTCACTGTCCGTCTGGAGTGCTTGGCTGGCCATGTTGGTTAACATAGTAAGCTCACACCCTGCAGAACAGAAAATGGCTAAGTGGCTGGCTGGGGCTGGCTGGGGACACCTTACCCATTTTCCTCACTCCTCCTCAATGCAAGGTCAAGTTCTCTAGGAACAGAACCAAAAGATGGAGACTCCTGCCCTAGTGATGGGCCACAGGAAGCTCTGAGGGGACCTGCCAGTGACCAAGAGAAACAGGACAGTGCCACAGGGAAGTGGGGCAAGGAGGCAGCTTCAGCTAAAGTCTGTTCTCAGCCTCTCCTCTGGGAGCTGTGGAACAATGGTGCCCCAGAGCCACCAATGGTGACTACTGCACCCTCTGCCACTTGCGGCTCCATCTCTGATCTACCTGTGGACATCTGACCTCCTTCCCTGGGCCTGTTTGTCTGGTTGTCCAAATAGCCTGGCTTGCCCAGGTGTTTCCCAGTCTTGGTCCAGGCCCAGTAAACTGGGGTGAGCCCTGGCAAGTTCAGTCCTGGCACACTAGGGCCCCGAGAGCCTCAGAGGTAGCCAGTGCTGTCCTGGTGAGCTTGGCCTCTGCAGATGGTATTTAGTGGGCCGGGCACTCGTGGCATGCATCACTCAAAGCAGGAGAGGCTTCTTTCCTGAGAGCCTCAGAGGCTGGTGATCAGAGTTCCTGGGAGGTGATCCCTGTGGGTATCCCTTGCCCCAGCCTGTCCTGCCTCCTAGGTTCCTCCATAGGCAAAAGTTCCTCTGCTGCAAAGCATCGTGTCACAGGTCTGCTTTCTAGACCCAGGGGGACCAAGGAGATGCAACATCTAACTGTTGGTCCAAGAATCTCTGCACCAGAGGAGACCAAAAGTCCCCAGGGGCCCCAAGGAAGCCACTCAGCTCTGGTAACAGGCGGGAAGGAGACATTAAAGCTCTTTTCAGCAAATTTCCTTCCCTGCAGGGGCTGTCTTCCTTTCTTTCCATTTCTGAAGTGGAAACAGTGAGGTGGTCACATTAACCTGGAAGATTATGTCCCCGTGTGGGAGCAGATGAAAGGACTTTTCTGCAGGGGTCTAACTAGACGGTGCTGTAAGAAGACTGACAGGGAAATCAGGAACCCCCTGGAGGAATGCACTGATTCTTTTCTACTTGTTCTCTAAATAATTCATGACTCTCCATGTCTCTTCCCCTGGCTCTTTGGTGAGACACTGGAGGTGAGGGGCAGGCCCAGACAGACTGAAAGCTTGGCTGAATTCATTGCACTGAGTGTTCATGGAGCCTCATTCACACATTTGGCAAATATTTATTAAGCACTTTTCTGTGTGGCAGATGCCATGCTAGGTGTGGGAAATCAAACAGCAAACAAAACAGAAGTTCCATGTGAAGGGCTTATATTTTGGCAGGGGGACTCAAGTTCTAAGCAAATATCCAAATATAAAAATAAACAAATTAGTTGAGTGTGGTGGCTCACACTTGTAACCCCACATACTTGGGAGCCATTTGATGCCAACCTAGACAAAAAGTTCATGAGAATTCCCCCATCTTAATCAGTGGCTAGGTACAGCAGTACACTCTTGTCATCTCAGCTACATGGGAAGCACAAATAGGAGGATTGTGGTCCAGTCAAAGTCAGCCTTAGCATAAAGCAGGACCCTATCTCAAGAACAACCAATGCAAAAAATGCTGAGAGTATGGCCCAAGTGGCAGAGCACCTGCCTAGCAAGCGTGAAGCCCTGAGTTCAAATCCCGGTGCCACAAAAAAAATTATAATTGTGCATAGGGATAAGAGTCATGAAGAAAAGAAGAGTAAGGGAAATTCCAGTGCTGGAGAAGAAAGAAGGCTTGTTTTAAATTGTGTGCTCTGCGGAATCCAAAGTAGCAAATACTAGGATGGAGGAGTAGAAAGAGCTGATGAACAGCACAGAGACTGCAGTTCCCAACAGTGTATCATGTTCAGGAATTTTGAGAAGTGAGTGGAGGACCTCTGTTCCATGAAAGAAAGGAATAACTGTGTAAGGCAATGCGTATGGCCACTTGCTCTACAAAACCAGCCATTTCATTATAAATACACATTCATTTAACATTATTATACATATATTATTAAATATCATAATTATATTTATATAATACATATATATATAACAGCTTCATGTTGTGTACCTTAAGTATATGCAATAAAATTCATCTTAAAAAACAAAAATAAATAAATTAAGTGGTTAGAAAGAAGGTGACATCTAAGGACATGAGGGTGAAAGTGATCCCAGCAAGTATCTACAAAGGGTCCCAGGCAGAGAGGAGAGCAAGTGGGAATGTGTTTGGGTGTTTGAGAAACAGCAGGGGAAGAGGACAGGAGGGGAACGGGCAGGAAAAGGGAAGCAAGGAGGCTGTGGGGAGGCAGATGGAGCTAAGGATGGAGCTAGGAGTAATGGGGAGTCATGGACGACTGTCGAGTAGAAGCATGACCTAAGCTCTTTTGGGTGGAGAGCTGGGCATAAGGCACACACATTTAAGTGCTTAGCTTATGGCTTTTGCAGGTGTATCTACCCGGCTAGTGACCACCCCGATGAGAATACAGAACATTTTCACCCCACAGAGGCCCCTCATGCCCCTCCCAATGTACAGCTCCCCCCACCCCCATGTTAGTGATTGCTTTGCTCTGACTTCAATCACTGTCAGATAGCTGTGCCTTTTCTTAACTTTCACGTGTCGTCTTTGAGTCCTGGCTTCTCTCACAGGATTCACTTGTGCAGGATTTTAGGTGAGTCACCTTGTTTTTCTGTTGACCAGAATCGTACTGTATGAAGAAACCACAATTGATTTCTCTACTCTGCTATCTGTTATTTTCTCTTTGTCCTCTTCCTCCTCTCCCCCTCCTCCTCCTCTTCCTACTTCTGGCAATACTGGGGTTTGAACTCAGGGCCTCACACTTGCCAAGCAGATGCTCTTCCTCTTGAGCCACACCTCCAGGCCTTTTTGCATTGGTTATTTTTTAGATGGGGTCTTGCTTTATGGACCAAAATCCTCCTGATCCTCCCAAGTGGCTAAGATATAGACGTGAGTCACCACGCCCTGCCATGACCCTTTTTCTTGGGCCACAAGGCAGATAAATCTTTGGCTTTCATAGACACTGCCAGATTATTTTCCAGCTTTATTGAGATATGATTCACTTATCATGCAGTTCACACATTCATTCTTTTTGGGCAATACTGGGGCTTTGAACTTGGAGCCTTATGCTCTCTAGGCAAATGCTCTTACCATTTGAACTGCATGTTCAGCCCCAATTCACCCATTTAAAGTGGACAGTCCAGTGGCCTTTGGAATATTCAGAGTTGTGCAGCCATCACTTTTAAAACAGCACCATCACCCCCGGTACCACTCAGAAACCGGTACCACTCAGCCTCCTCCACCATTCCTCCACTAATCAGCTTCTTGTGACAGATTTCTTTCTTCTGTAAATTTCACATGCGCAAGCATGTAAGCTGTGCAGGCCTCTTGCACTTAAGGAGGTTTCAAGGCTCATCTGTGTTGGCACGGGTTGATATTTTGTTTCCATCACATGGATACTTTGTGTTGTTTCCTTCTAGAGTTGGAAATACTGGGTTGTTGCTACTTTGTGGCCATGGTGCATGATGCTACTTTATATTTTCCTACAAGCTTCTGTGTGGACCTGTGTTTTTATTTCTCCTGGGAGATAACCAGGAGTGGAATTGCAAGTCCCATGGCAACTGTGTCTCACCATGGCAGGGCTGTTTGTTTTTCCAGGCTGCCATGTGGGGACAAGCGTAGATACAAAGAGACTGCATTGGTCAGCTTTGCATCACTGTAACAAAATACCAGACACAGACTAAGGAAATAAAGAGAGGTTTATTCTGGCTGCTGTTTGTGGAGATCAAAGCAAAGACTGGGTGACCCCTCCTTTTGACACCAGGAGAGGGTGGCACATGGGAGTGGGGGCGTTTTGGTGCAAACAACTTACATCGTGAGCCAGGAAACATGGGAATGTGGAACCAGGGTCCCACCTCTCCCTTTTAGAGCACATCTCAGTAACCCACGGACCTCTCACCAGCCCCCATACACTTTAAAGTTCTACAGCACCCCCAATAACACCACCCTGGAGACCAAGCCATCAATTGTGGACCTTTGGGGGACCTCACTGTAGTCAAAGCAAAGACCACAGAGGAAGCTACAGCAATGAGCCAGGGGAGATTCCAGTGCAGGCTGAGGGCGGTGGGTAGAGCCCCAATCTATTCTGAAGATGAAACCAACAGAGTGTTCTAGGGGCATGGATGTAAAGTATTAAAAAACAATTGAAAGGCCAGCGAATTCTGCAGGGTTCTGTCCTCCCACAGAAGGCCCTGGATCCCAGTTAAAAACTTGGCACGCCCTGTGGCAACCATGAATGGCAGGAACTGGGTCTGAGACCCAGCACTTGGTTCTGGCCCATTTCTCACCACTGATGGCGGTGGCTCCCCATAGGACATTGACTCTCTTGGGTCCAGTGTGCCCCGTCTGGACAAAGGGAAAGCTGGGTGAAGCTCCCCATCTTGTCTCTGTCCCATGTACATGACCTGGGACTTGGGAAGGGAGGAGTGGTGGATGGCTGGGTGACCTTCTCTGCACATCCTTGTGTCCCAGGTGTGTGAGCCTTCCGTCATGACAGACACTGTGGTTAGCAGCAGCTCCAACCGATGGATGCATCCCAGCGACCGACCACTGCAGTCAAAGTAAGTTTGGGATGTCCCCAGGTTTGGGTCAGAAAGGTCCTAACTGACTGGTAACCCATGGCTCATGCCTGTAAGTCCTAGCTACTCAGGAGGCAGAGAACAGGAGGGTCGTGGTTCAAAGCCAGCCTCTGTAAGTAGTTCTCAAGACCCTATCTCAAAAAACCCATCACCAAAAAAGGGCTGGAGGAGTGGCTCAGGTGGTAAAAGCACCTGTCTAGCAAGCCTGAGGCCCTGAGTTCAAACCCCAATACTGCCAAAAAAAAAGGTCCGAACCATCTACACTTGACAGATAGCCAGAATCAGAAGGGAAGATAGGGAATTTCCTTCCTGAGGTGGGGAAGTGTCATAGAAACTTCTCCCTGTTTCCACTGCTTTGCAAGGTTGGAAGAACAAGATTAAATTCAGAGTCCTGTAGGACAAAGTAGAGGTGGCCTGGGAGAGAGACCTGACCGGTGGTGGAAGCAGAGGTGGGCTCTCCAGCTCTGGAGCCCAGCTAATTCACTGTGTGGCTATCAGTGAATCTCTCCCCTTCCCTGGACCTCAGTTTCCCCATTTGTCAAATAAGGAAGTGGACTCCATTGGAGATTATAAACTGGCAGGCCACAAACGGACTCTGACTTGCAGAACTGTGTGGGTGTTGTTTATTTTTTTCTACTTGGGGGCCGATCAAACTGGGAAGTTTCACATAAAAGTCCAGATTTCTGACATCTTAAAACAAAACAAAAAAACACCCAACAATAGTGGAGGAAATTTTACCGTGCTAACAATCACCAGGAGCCAAGAGTAACTGCCATCTTTAGACAGGCTCAGATCTCCGATTTTCCGCAGTCCTCACCATTCCCTATCGAGTCTCTAAATCAGAGTCTATTTGGGGGTATTTATGTTACCCATTCATCCCTGTGGGATGCCCTTGAACACATGACCTCTCTGTTTCTTTTTTAATTTTTATTTAATTTGAAAATTTTTTTTGAGACAAGGCTGGTCTTGAACTTATGATCCTCCTGCCTCAGCCTCTCAAGTACTGGGATTATAGGTGTGCCTCATCATACCCAGCATGGATTTAACTTTTTAAGAAATTGCCAACCTGTCCTTCAAATTGCTTGTACCATTTAAAAAATTCCCTCTAGAAGTGTCTGAGAGGTCCAGCTGCCCTCTGCCTCACCAGCACGCAGTGTAGCTAGCCTTTTTAATATATTGTGTAAACAGTGGTGTTCCATTATGGTTTGCAATTTGCATTTCCTTATGGTTAATTACCTCTTCTTTGGAGTATCTGCTCAAATCATGTCTGTTTCTAAAGTCAGGTCATCTTCTTGTAAGTTTTACATTTTTTAATGTTCCAGGTTAAAGTCCTTTGTTGGCTAAACATTTTCCAACTTTTACCGGTCAGACTCATGCTTTTTTTTTTTTTTTTTTTTTTCATAACAGAGTCTTTGGAAGAGAAAACATTTTGCATGTCAATGAAATCTGTTTTGTCTATTTGTTTCAAAAAGGCACAGCCATAGAAAATTCCCTTACTTTCCAGCAATCTCTAGCTGCATTTAAGAGGGTTGCTGCAATATGTCTAGGACCTAACTACATATTGGGGGAGAATGTTTTTTGGCAGTACTGGATTTGAATTCAGGTCCTCTTGCTTGCTAGGCAAGCTCTACTACTTGAGCCACTCCCCCAGCCCTTTTACTTTATTTTCAGATAGGGTCTCACTTTTTGCCAGGGGGCTGGCCTTAGACCACAATCTTACTACCTCTGCTTCTTGTGTACCTGAGATTACAGATGTGAACCACCATGCCCAGCCCTGGGGGAGGATTTTTCTGTCCACCCAAATACTCAGAAGCAAATGACCTCTGTCTGTTTACCACTTCTACCTAAAACTTCCTCCTGTTCTAAGCACTACCATTTTGAAGACACTACTGAACGCTGCCAGTTTCCCTTTCGACAGGAAAATTCTAGCATCCAAAGCTGGTCCCATAATGTCCTCTTGGAGACAAACTTAATTTTGTACAGAAAATCTCATCCGCCAGAAAGTGTATCTCTGTAAGATAAATAGTTGCCTTGGGGGGTAGATGAGGTAAAATATTTATTTTTATTTAAGAAATGTCAGTTAATTAAAATCCCCTCCATCAAGTTTACTTTAGCTGATATGAAGCCAAGCAATTTGTCTTACAATTAAATTAGAATTAGTCAAACAGTCTGGTCGTAGTTGCATGGAAGCGCTCCTAGGCTCCTGCAAAACTTCTTGGCATTCTGGATGCGTCACCTACCCTCAATTGCTGCTGCATGTCCTCCAGATATTAAAGTGATTTTTTGATAAATGCTAATGATGGATTACAGCAGTCACACATGTTGCCCAGCCTACTGCAACTGGAGCATACTAACATGAAAAATTCTCACATCTTTCTCCAGTAAATTAAAGAATCAAGTCTTAATTAACTGTTGGCTAGCCAAAGACACTACATGCTTTTGTGATTGTCCAATGTCTTCCTTGTGCCTGAATCCAGCTATGTGGGATTGGAGAGGAAGGAATGTCCCCTCTCCTGTCTTGGATGGGGCTGTGGTCCACCTCTCCATGTGGGTCATCCAAGGGGAGAGGTAACATGTTCTGAAATCTGATCTTGCTATTTCGATATCAATTTTGCAAGTCAGAGAGGCCAGAAATGGGGGGGTGGAGGGCGGGGACTGAGGCCCCAATCTGCCTATGGTTGCCCACCTAGCAAACAGAAATGCTAGTCTCCCTTGGAGAATGGAAAACCTTGCTTCCCCAAACTGGGGCCTACACAATTTGCTGTGCAAGATCATGGTTCCACCTAATGTGACCCGAGTCCCCCACCCTAGGGTTTGAAATAAAGGAAATCAAGAGGAAGCCAAGCGGAGGGCGACTGTGTTGTCATGATTTCCCTCTAGTGCCCCAAACATCATTCTCCCGATAAGCAAATGGCCAGTTCAGTTAATTAAGATGCTGAACTATTGATCAATTTAACCACAGTTGGGGATTTCATATCCCTACTTGGAAGCAGCCCTGTTTTAGAGGTATGAAAGTAAGATAAAGACTGAAAGGAAAACAGAAGTTGGCTATCAGTCAAAATTCACAGTGTGTGGTTGTTGCAACCAGATAGTGTTGGTGTTGTAAGATTTCTTACCTAACTTTATTCTTTGTTTCTTTCTGTCCTTGCTTTGCCTTTATCCTTCAGTGATAAAGAACAGTAAGTATTTTATGATGTTTTTATTTTCCTACAAACTGAATTTCATCTTTTTCTGATCTTGATGACTTGCCCCTGAAGATAGATGGTTAATGGGGAACTAGCAAAATTTATGAAAAAGTCAAGTAATTAAAAAACATACATCTCAAGAAAAAATTTACAAAATTAAAAAAAAATGAAAAATTTTTTTGGCAGAACCGGGGTTTGAACTCAGGGCCTCACACTTGCTAGGCAGGCACTCTACTGCTTGAGCCACTCTGCCTGCCCCCTCCACCCCAAAGTGCAAACTTGATAAAAAGATGGAAAATTTTCTGAGGAGCACCCTCACTTAATTCTTATTTTGTGGGGTTTTGAGTTTATTGACCATTCTCTGCTCTGTCTGTAGCATTTTGCTGGGAACTCTATTCTTAGACAAAGAAAATGTTAACAGTGATCACTGCTATTGTTAATCAAAGCTGACAGTGAACAGAGCCAAGCTTATGGGATGCTCTGTACTGCACCTCCAGTTTCTGTCACCTCACTGGAGGTCACCCTGACCTCTGGGAAAATGCATTTGTCTGCAAGGCCCTAGCTGTGCTCACAGCCTCTGATTTCCATCGATTCCTTTACTAACTGTGCTTGATGGGTTGGATCCAGCAAATGAACAGCCAAGAGCACATTCAGAAACAGTGGAATGTCACTGTCACCCTCCCCACAATGGGACTCTGTTAACTTGCCATCACTGTGACCTTGGCCACTGCCCCATCTCCTGGAGCTCTGGTGATCTTGTCTGTAAAATGGGTATGAGAACCCCGCTCTTCTCCCCTTGCCAGCAGTGGCAAGAGGGTCTCAGAATTCTCAGCGGGACCTGAATGCTGAGGGTGGAAGGCGGGGTGTTCTCCTTCCACTTCCCTCCCTCTTCCATCCACTGCTTCCTCATCCCCTGTCTCCTCCCTCCCTTCCTTCTTTTTTCTTCCCCTCCCCCCTTCCTCCCTTTTCTTCCTTCCACTTTTCCTTCCTTCCACTTTTCCCTCCCTCTTTCCTTCCCTCCTCCCTTCCTTCCCCTTCCTTCTTTACTCCTTTCCTTCCCTCTCCCCTTCCCCCCTTCCCAACCCTTCCCAGCCCTTTCTTCCCTCCCTCCTTTGACATTTACCAAATTCCTACAGCATCCCAACCGACAGAGATACAGACATAGCCAAGTATGCATGGTGTCTCTAGTGGTGTCTCTAAATGAACAAATATCCAGTCACCAACAAATCCACCCCAGCGTGTAAGGAGCTTTAATTTTGGGAACACAAAACTTGGTGGATCACTATGGCAGAGCTTCCTGAAAGAAGTGCTGGGTGAGCCAAGACCAGGGGATGAAGAAGCACTGTGCAGGAAAGGTAGGAGGCCTAGGCAGGGGAACAGCATCTGCAAAGCCCCCCTGTGAGAGAGTGCATGGAGTTTTAGATGAGCTGAGTGGAACTCAGTCTGGCTGAAAAGGGTCCCCAGATACCCTTGGCATTTTGAAGGTGGGGGAGGGGGACCACAGCATCCATTCTGCACCCCCTTTCATCTGGCTGGGGTAGATTTCACCCAAAAAGGCTTCGGGGCAGCCCTTCCTCCCCCTTATCCCTTCCTTCAGGATTCATTAGAATCTCATTCACTGAGGGAAAGAGGCTTCCTGCAGACACCTGCTCATGTTGGCGTCCTGGGGAAGGGGGAGGGAAGAAGAAGAAAGGAGAGAGAAAGGATTAATTTTCTGCATGCTGCTGTCACTATAGAGAGCTTCAGAACCCCCTGCCCTGACAGCACTTCCATCCCCCCACGCCTTTGGGAGTTATCATTTATTAATAGAGACATCTGGAGGGTATTTATTGTGTGACAATTGTGTAGTGAAATGTAGAAGCAAGGTAGGAGGCAGGAAAGAGCTGGGGGAAGGCTGGTTTTGCACTATTTCAGGGAGAGACAGAGGGAGGGGGGACCTTCCACCTGCAGACACAGTTACCTTCCTTCGTCATGGGGTCGTCTGGCACTGGTGTTGTCCGAGGGCCCCTCTGACCTCCCACTGCACCTAGGTGGAGCTTTAGGTGGAGCCTGAAGTATTGGACTGTGCTCTCCCTGCTTACCTGTTCTTAGCAATTTCCTCTCTCTTGTGAGTGAGTACCAGAAATCCAGAAAGCGAGCAGTTTGGCTGCAGAAGCCTAAAGATTTGGGTAGAGTAGAATTTTTCTCTTTGACTAATATTTTATTTAAAAGTTTCACATTTAAGAAAGTTAAGTGTAGAGCAGGTTCATAGCTGAAAGCATTAAAAACACCGTGAACTTTATACAGCTGTAATTTAAAATAATTTAAATAATACTAATATATTACTAATAATTGTAATATAATACTAATCTGAGAGTGAGGAGTCTACAAAGTATCATGTTGCTTTTCTTTTTCTTGTGTGGATACTGTATCAGTTAGCTTTTGCTGTGTAACCAACCATCTTAAAATAATTTACTCAGCAATTGCTATCACTGGGCACCTAGGTTATTTCTAACTTGTTACTATTTTCACCAAAAATGAATCCACTGAAACGAACACCCTACGCTGATAGAAATTTCTGCCACTTAAAGTCAGGCCAGAGTGCCCAGGAATCTTAATTTTCAATCTCTCTCTCTCTCTCTCTCTCTCTGACATTCATATTTGTGCAGATGGAATGGGGGTATTGGCTTTGGAGACTTCTCCCACCAAGGCATTAGGGGCATTTACACGTGTCCAAAGCAATTCCTGATTTTAGAATATGAAATGCCAGTCAGTGACCCTGGCGTGTTCCCCACTCCTCTCTACCAAAGCATTCTTTTCACCCCCAGAAACTCAGTGCCCATTGTGTTGCAGCGCCATTGGGTAATTTCCACTGAATTGTCACTAAGGAATGGATCTATGGCACACTTTTATGACAAAATGTTGAGGAAGGAGGAGGCACAAGTTGACCGTGTTTGAGTATTTGTGGCGTTCCAGGCCCTGTGGTGAGCACTCTCTATCCTGGATCTACTGAGTTTCCATGTGAGTTGTACCAGATCCACGGCACCCCTTTGATAAACAAGCAGACACAGGCCCAGAGATGTCACAAACTTGGCCTGAGGTGACACATCTTGGCAAGGGTGGAGCCAGGAAAGAGATCCAGGCTGTGCAAGCCTCCTCCCCACACTCCACCCCCCCAGTTTCTTCATCCTCTCAGGAACCGATGAGCGAGTGTCCAGGGTGGTCACTGTGGGCAGCCCCCAGGGCTGCTGAGGTGGAAGTTCTGCTAGCCCGCGGGTAGTTAGTATGAGTTAGTGTGAAAACCCTCATCACCCCCAGGGAGTCAGTCCACATCTTGGAGCCCATCTGACATCTCAGCGTGCTCCCCAAATTCCCAGCACATGGCAGGTCTTTAGCTCACTGATCTGATTCTGTGCCTCACTGAAAAGTCAGGGCATCTCTGTGGACTGGGAGAACGGTCACAATAGGAAGAGCTGGTGTCCACCGTGCTGTGGACTTGGCCTGACTCAGCCTGCGTCTTCACTTTTACTCCTGCTAATGGCTCCATGATGGAAATCCTGCTCCCTCCCTCCTAATGGACCAGGAAACCCGTGTGCAGAGGCAAACTCAGGTTCCAGTCATGAACTATGTGAAGTCATGGGGGCTCAGGTCTGCACACGATATGCCCTCTGTTTATCTTCTGGATCCAATGCAGCCCTCCGAGTACCTTGTCTAAGGAGAGCAGCACTTTGGTTTACAATGGTGATTTTATTCATTTATTTTTTGGTAGAACCAGGGTTTGAACTCAGGGCTTTACACTTGCTAGGCAGGCACCACTTGAAACACACTTCCACCCTTTTTTTTGCTTTGGCTGTTTTTGAGATAGGGTCTCGCTTTGTGCTCAGGCTGGTCTGAACCACGATCCTACTACTTACACCTTCCACGTAGCTGTGGTGACAGGTGCATGCCATCACTCCCAGCTTTATTGGTTGAGATGGAGTCTAGTGACTAGCCTGTCCTTAACCGGGGTCCTCCCAATCTCTACCTCCTAAGTGTGCAGCATTGATTTTTAGCAAGAACCTAACACTGGACTCTGATCTTAAGGACACAGAGCTAGCATCCTATGCCCAGAGGTCCCAGGCATAGAGTCACTGTCCTGTCACAAGGCTGCCATGTTCAGCCCCTTTTGTTCCCTGAGAGCAAAGGCTTAGGTCTGAGGAACTGATTCCGTTCCCTTGGTTTGCTTTTTGAATTAAAACATGAAAATCCACAGGAGGCTTGAGGCTCCCACTGAGACCAATCGCGACACTTCCAAACACTGAATGAGCTGTTTGTCAACTGCAGGTTCTGGAACAGGGGGTGGGGGAAGGGCTGCCTCCAGCAACCTCTGCTCCATTGCAGTCTGCAGATGGAGGCCATCATCCTGGGAGGGTCTCAGTGACATCCCGGTCCTGCTCATGCTCTCGAGCTATCTATGTCCTGGGGGTTCTGCTTCCTATGTGCACCGAGCCCAGCAGGTCGTGTGGCCAGTGTGAGATGCCAACCAATGATGCTCAGACCAGATTTCGTGCTGCTAGAACACATCCCTGGAGGATCGGCCCTAGCTTTCAGGCCCAGAATCTCCTCTGGGCTCATTGTGGGCCACAGAGCTGCTCTGTAAAGGCAGCAAATAAATGAAGGGGGATTCAAAGAGCAGTCAAGGAATAGAATTGGGAATGAAGGAAGGAAGACGAGGGGCAGAGGAGACATCCAACTTCGCAGAAAACCATGGAGCCTGGGGAGGTGGCCGAGGGCACTTTGGGAAGAGCAGGTGTTCTTGTTATTTAGTAGTCCACTGTGTCCCTTAAAAATAGCAGGAAGAAGCTGGACATCGGTGGCTCATACCTGTAATCCTAGTTATTCAGAGGCTGAGATCAGGAGGATAATAGTTTGAGGCCAACCTGGGCAAAAAGTTCACGAGACTCCATCTAAACCCATATCTGGGCATGGTGGCACATTTCTGTCATTCCAAGATACACAGGAGGCTGAGATCAGAGGATTGTGGTTCCAGACCAGCACAGGGCAAAAATAAGTTTGTGAAACCCCATCTCAGTGGAAAAAATCTGGACATGCACCTGTTATCCCAGCTATAGTGGGAAGCATAAAATAGAAAGATCTCAGTTCAGGCCAGCCTCGGCAAGAAGTAAGATTCTATCTCCAGAACAAGTAGAGCAAAAAGGGCTGGAGGTATGGCTCAAGTGGTAGAGCACCTGCTTAGCAAGTGTAAAGCCCTGAGCCCAAACCCAGGTACAGCTTGGAAAAAAAAATAGCAGGAAGAAATGGCACACTGGATGGAAGATCTTTCCTATGGAATGATGCAGACTGGAGATGAGAAAATTACCCCCCCCCACACCCTCCCAGCACAGACATCATTTGAGCAAGGTTAGAAAGACACCTGGTAGGGAGGCTTTGGCAGACAGACTTAAAAGTGACACCCAATGATTCTGCCTCCTGGTGTCCATACCCTTGTACAGTCCCCTCCCTTTGGGTGTGGGTGGGACCTGGGACTTGCTTCTAACCTACAGAATTCAGCAAAAAGGATGGTTGTCACTCTTACAATTGCACTATGTCATAGAAGGCTCTGTCCAGCTATGAGGAATAGACACTGTCCTTGTGAATCTGATGAAGCAAGTGGCCTTCTTCCTGGAGAAGTCCCCAGGCTTAGGGACTGCAGGCAGTATCTAGGGTCTGGGGTGGCCTCCTGCCAATAGCCAACAAAAAGCCATGGCCCTTAGTCCTATAACTGTAAGCTGTAGGGACCTCTACCGACAACCCAGATTTGCTCGGAAGCTTTCCCCGTTAAACCTTTGAGTGAGAACACAGTCCAGCCCACACCTTGGCTGCAGCCCAGGGAAGCCAAACAGAAGACCCAGTTAAGCAGTGCCAACTCCTGACCCACAGAAACTGAGAGATCATAGAATCATGTGGTTTTAAGCCCCTCGATTTGACAATGAGTCATAGAAAATGAATACTGACCTTGCAGGTGGAGCCTCCCATTAGTCTGTCCCCCCACCTCCAGCCCTCCCAGCTACCTAAGCTGAAAAACAAATCATTTCAAACTTAGTAGCCTAAAACAGACCCCATGAATTACATTTGCCAGTTTCTGCAAGTAGGAATTGGGACGAGCTTGGCTGGGCAGTTCCAGCCCAGGGCTCCTCACTTGACTGTAGTCTTGTCGTCTCCAAGTCAGTTATCTGAAGGCTTGATGGGAGCTGGAGGGACACCCATGTAGATCAGGTTAGTGTGAGCTTGTGGCTGGGGGCCTCAGCTCCTGTCCCCATGGCCTCTCCACAGCAAAGCTGGAGCGTCTTGTAGACTTTCCCTACAACCAGCTATCCAAGAGACCAAGATGGAGGCTGCCATGTCTTTTAATTAAGACTTGGTCTCGGAAGTCCCAGGGCCACTTTCACTGCATTTAGTGGCTTCATTATGAGAGGGGCACACAAGGGACAGCGTGAACTCCAGGAGGCAGGGGCAGACTGGCCACCATGCTGGTCACCCTTCCCTCTTCAGGCATGCCACTCACACTCGCCACTCCAGGGCTTTGCAAAGACCATTCCCCTGCCTGCCCAGCCTCTCTCCCCGCTCCCCCCACCCTCCCTGCTCCAGATCTCCAGGTCTCCAGATCTCAGTAGGGGTCAGCTATGGCTTTGTGGGACTTGAAGTTTATTTAATTTAGGGGTCCTTGCTCAAGATCACAAAGACACAAATACCTTCTGCAAATTTTCTTAATCAAAGGATCAATATTAGGACCTCCTGTGCAAAGGCCCTAACCTTTCCTTCAGCATCACCAGAAGAGCTGTGATGACCTCACTTTCTTGGAGGACTCTCCAGGGTCCCTAAACTGGATAACATGCATTACTTAAGTCTCCCCATGTGCCACATGTATAAGGAGACATCGACAACTCACAAAGTACCAAGTCTTACCCAAAATCTCTTGGTACATGTTTCTTTTTAGATAGCCATCTGGCATAATAGTGAGCCAGGCAAGGTCACTGGAGTCCCACTCCAGGGTAACAAAAACACATTTACAAGAAAATTTCAGCTGGAGACAATCCCATGGAGAAAGTGAAGCAGGGAAATGAGAGCTCAAGAATGGCTGGCCTCTCTGAGTCTGGCATGAGGAAGAGGAGTGAGTCAGCGGAAGGGTTCCAAGCAGAAGGGTTCTGAGCAGAAGGAACAGCAGGTGCAAAGGCCCTGGGGCAAAAATAAGGCTTGGTATTCAAACTGAGCAGAGGCTGCTGTGTCTGGAGCAGTGGCCAGGGAAAGCAGGGGATGAGGACAAGAGGGCAAGGAAAGGGCAGACCAGGTGGAACTTTCCAGAATGGGCAAGAAGACTGGGCTTTATTATTACTAAGTAAAATTCTTCTGGCATAAAATTAACCACTTAAAAAAGTCCAGGGACTGGGGGTGTGGCTTGTTGGCAGAGCCTAGTGTGTGTGAAGTCCTTGGTTCCATCCCCAAACCAGAGAGGGAGAGAGGGAGAGAGAGAGACAGAGGAAGAGAGGGAGAGAGAGGGAGATAGCAAATTCACAATGTGTCAATCATCGGTGTTACCTATTACCTAGCCCTGGCGTTTAATCTAAGTGAGACGCCCCTGGAGGGTTTGGGTTTGGCTGGGATTTGCTCATCCCAGAGGCTCCTGCTCTATTGCTTCACCTGTTCCCCCCAGGAGGATCCCAGGCCACACCCCTTCCCTTCCTCATAAGAAGGGCTTCCTTCCCTTCCAAATCTTTCCTCTGCTCTTCCCAGTAAAGCTGGGGGGGTGGGGGGGAGGAGAGAAAAGGGGGTTTAATCCCCAGCTTCAAGTATCTCCAAATAGTAGCAGGGAAAGTGACTGAGGCTGGCAGCTAATGGGGTACTGGCACTTGTGGTTTCAGAGGCACAGATTTTCCCCTTAACAGGCAGGAGAATTTTCTTATCCACTCCAGGGCTGGACCTCAACCCTGTGGCAGGGACCCAGCACTATGGAGAGGTCACTAGCTCACCTTTACTATGGAGGGAACTCAGCTCTCAGCAGCCTCTGACCGCCCATCATCTAATCTCTCCTTACTCAGCCTTCCCTCGGGAGAGAGGGACAATGACAGTCCCTGCCTTGCAGGGGTGATGTGGGGACAGAGTGAGGTGACATGGGCACACAGTATTTGTGTATATTTTCTATGTCAGTATATGCTTTTTAAAAGCACAGGAACACAGGTAGAACTCGGAATGTTACTGGATTCTCGAACATTTATGTGAATTGAAGATATTCTTTACAAGACTCATTGGTAACTAGTTTAAACTTATTTTTAAAAACTCGGTGGCCCAAATGAAACATCTCTGTGCCAGGCTTGCATGGGATTAACCTGGCAGAATTGCCTCCCCTCTGGCTGTGGAAGTTTCCTGTTCTTCCTGGGAATCTTCCTGGGGACACCTGTCCCCTCCAGCCTCCAGAGCTTTCTGCAGACATCACTTGTGGAAGGTCTGCCCCGCACAAGCACTAGGTACTTAATAAAAATGAACCTGTGGGAACCCAGTGAAGGAAGTGTGTATCCCCTTGGACAGACCTCTTGACCAGGGTGTCCAGCGAGTGAGGTTCCTGACAGGAACTTGAATTGTGCTTTTTCAGGCTCCAAGGTCTTGGGTCAACTTGTTCTTGGCACTGTCCCCTGGGCTGTCAGTCCTGCCTCATGTTCCCAATTGTCTTACAGGCTGCAGGCAGGCTGGTCTGTCCACCCTAGTGCCCAGCCGGACAGACAGAGGAAGCAGGAAGAGCTGACAGATGAGGAGAAGGAAATCATCAACAGGGTGATCGCCAGAGCTGAGAAAATGGAGGAGATGGAGCAGGAGAGGATTGGGTGAGGCCAACGACCCCCCTCCGAGCCAGGGGCAAGGGCAGTGGGGGAGGGATGGACACAGGCTGTGGCTTAATGACTTCGTGACTTGTAGGCCCCCCACCCAGGCACACCTGGAATCTTTGCTGCCTGAGGTAGGAAAAGCCAGAAGAAGAGAAAAAGGGAAAGAAGAGAGGACAGGGTGGCTGGGCAGAGATGCTTCTTGGCTGGAGGAGGGGAAGAAGAAGAGGACTGGTGACAGAGAAAAGGGGGATTGTCCTCAAAGTCTGCAAGGGGTGGGGTGGGCATGAGATGAGCATGGCAGGGTGGGGGGCTTAGTCAATGACAACTGTATAGAGTGACCTCCAGAGGCACTGGCCTTGAAGATGCCAGAACACACGGCTGAGGACTGAGTGAGCAGACACAGTGTAAAAGGCAGTGGTTCACACTTTTGTGCAGAAGCTTAAGTTGACCTTAGAGCAGAGTGGCATTTGTTACCAGGGACTAGGAATTGGGGGGAGAGGAAAAGATGGAGCCAGGACGGTTAACAGTGCAGGTGGCAGTTAAGTAGGCAAATGACTTCCAACGTAGCTATGGTTGACAATAGTTAACTGGATACTTCGATGGGCTCCTGGAGAGGATTTTGAATGTCCCTAATACAAAAGACATGGTGACTGTTTGAGGTGATGAATATGCAAATTTCCCTGGTCTGATTGTTACACATTGTATACTATGTCATGCTGCCTTCCATAAATATGTACAATTATGCAACAATTAGTGGAGACAGGGAGCAAGAGCATCTGAAATGACCTGAAGAAGAGAAGTAGAGAAGCTGATCCCCCTCAGAGGCAGGTACAGGCAAGAGGTCCCTGAGGTTGGCCTAGGGGTCTGGGCTGCAGAACCTGGACCTCCGCCGTTTGCCTCATAGCCCCATGTGCTCGCTGGCAGACTGGAGGAGAGATGGTTACAGCACAGGTTTCTTTAGTTCCTGCTCCTGTAATACTCTGTGTTGAGCAAATTCAGGGAAGGAGGGAAAAGGACTCAGAGTGCAGAGACAATGCACACGTGTGATGGGAGAAAAGCAAGGCGTGTGAGCTTGTGTGGTGTGTGTGAAGAGAGTGATAGTCAAAGCGCCAAGGGCAATGCTGGAAGAAAGGGATGGTTTGTGGGTGGGCTGGTGGGGGGGCAGTGGTAATCCATCAGTGTGGGGAGGTGACCAAGAAAAGAGTAGGGAGCCTCTTGGCATGGGTAGAAACTGGCTGCCCAGAGGCAGCGAGGTCTGCAGCAGGGTCCCCTACACCCCGATCTTCAGTAGGAACCAAGAAGTCCATGACACCCCCAGGCCCTCTTGTTGGGACAGACACTACCAACTGCTTACAACTTAATCCAGCCCGGTGTGCCTTGACTTCTGTTCCAAATGCTCAGCTGGGGACTAGAGAGGTTCTTGAGTGGAAAGTGATGCCATGGAGATGCAGGAGGGGGTGCTTTGATCCAAACCTCTGAGGGTAACGTTTTTTCTTGGGAACAAGCCAGGAAGATCAGAGGTGCTGCTCCCAAAAAGACACCCTCCTTCCCTCCCACCTCAGGCGGTTGCCGAAGAGATGAGTGAGAGAGGCTTGCTTTAGGCTCAGGTTCTTATTTAGCTTTTGCAAAGCTGTTTCAGGAATGGGGAGTCCTCCAGGTGGTTGCTTTTACCTCATTCAACGATGGGCCTCAGGCCTGGGAGAAGGAAGGACAGCGATGTCAAGGATATAAACTGGAAGAAGTGTTTTCTTCAACCCTTTCCCTCAGTAGCTGGCTTACCAGTTTAGGATACCACCAGGATATTTTGTACTCCACAATTTAGTTTGACTCATGTATGTCACTTCCAATAATCTAACTTAAGATTCCTGAAGGCAGGGGGTTTTGCCTGTTCTGTTCTCTCCAGGCAGAGTCTGCTAGTAGGGACACAGAAAAATAAGTTAAGTGAAAGAGAGATTGTGGTAAATGATACCGTCCTCCAAAATCTTTCTACATCACCTGTGGCCAAGTGAGTAGGGAGTTTAGAACCTTGTCCAGGGTCCAAATTCCTAGGAAAAGTACTCTGATTGGCTGGCTTATGTCAGGTGCTAGCCTTCATCCGATCAGCTGTAGCCAGGAATGCCAGACTCCTCGTACAAGTCAGGGGATCCTTGTGGGTTGAGCAGATCCCAGCTTGAACATTCTAGAATACAGTAGATGGAGTCTGTGCCTTAACGTCCATGGCCTGACATATTCTTCCACCAACCTGGTGGCATGACAGCTGAGCATAGTGGATAAAAGTTGGGATCTCAAAGTCAGAGAAACCTGGGTTCAAATTCCTGCTCTGCCACTTATTCTCTGTATTACCTTATGTGAGCCACTTTCCCGTCCTGTGCCTCAGTTTCCTCACATGCAAAATGGGGGTAAATTTGCACATGCTTCTTGGTGAATATTCAGTTAACACGAAAGGATTGTTACAATGCTTTGCTCAGAACACAGGCTTAATAAGTGATGGTAACTATTTAGGGTGAGTTTAAAGTAACATTTTTTTTAAAGACACTCATTTTTGACCCTAGCTAGAGCCTCCAGTCTACAAAGTGCCCTGAGACTCTAATTTGGCAAGCCCTGGAATCCAGGCAGCCTCTGGCTTCCCCTGCAGGGGATTTGAAAGGCTTCCATGGAAGCCGGGCCAAATCCATGTTGACAGAGTGAACCTTTGCTGAGACTGTGTGTGTTTTCTGCTGGCTTCCCAGTGTGGCTGTCCTCCGACAGCCCCAGAAGATTCTAGGCCTTGCTGGCAGCATCTCCAGAGGCAAACCCAATTCTATTTGTGTCTTCTAAGCTCCAGCCTGCCCTCATTCCTGTTCCACCCACCCGTCTCTGGGATGGGATCAGAGAAGAGCCAGCTGAAAGCCAGGTGGAATATCAGGCACAGAGCAAAACTGCAAGTGGAGTGGAGGGCTGCAGGTGTGGCTCAAGTGATAGAGAGCTCGCCTAGGAAGGTGAAGGAGTTCATGCCCCAATACTGCCAAAGAAGAAGAAGAAGAAGAGGAAGAAAACAAGAAATAATAACTCGTTTACAGGGTGTGGTAGCTTACATCTATAATCCCAGAGACTATGGAGGTGGCGATTAGGATGATTATGGTTTGAGACCAACCTGGGTAAAAAGTTATTGTGACCCCCTTCCCTCTCAACAAAATAGCTGGGCATGGTGGTGCATTCCTGTAATTCTAGCTACACAGGAGACGTAAGTAGGAGGACCATAGTTCTGACCAGCCCAGGCAATAAAACGCAAAAACCTAGCCCAAAACAAACCAAAGCAAAAAGGACTGGGGCATGGCTTAAGTAGTGTAGCTCTTGCCTAGTAAGCATGAGGCCCTGAGTTCAAACCCCAGAACCACAAAAAAAAAAAAAAGAAAGAAAGAAAGAAAAAAGAAAAGAAAAAAAGAGAGAGAGAGAAGAGTATAATTGGGGTGCTGGTTGGGGCTCCCACTACAGAACCTGAGGCTCTCAGTTGACAAAACTTCAAGACTTGTTTCCCCACTCATCAAATGACTCACTGTGATTTTCAGGATTCTTCTCACTCAGCCTCTAGTGTTCTGGGGAATCTGGTGCAGGACCCCACACTGCAGTGTGCCTGTCAGAACAAATGGGCACCTTCTAACTATATTAAAATTGCAGGAGTATCTGTGTCCCCTTCTGGGTCCAGACACCAGCTCCGAGATGTTGAATTTTCTTTTCTATTACCTGAGCGAAAGCCATCTGAGGACATTGTTAATGAACATCATAAAATATTAACCATCCTGGTGCCACGAATAGAGCACTTACTGTGAACCCAAAGCCCTGTATTTTAAACCTTCATTTGCATTCACTCATTAACGGCTCCTCTCAACCCTATCATCTGTATTTTGCAGGTGAGGTTTAGACAGCCAGGATCATTTGCCCAAGGTCACAGAGAGGAAAGTCTCCCATCCCTGTGTGGCTGACTCTCAGAGCTATGCTGTTAACTCTACGAGGTGTCCTTCCTCGAGGCCTGTTCCCAAATTCCTAGACTGTGCAATCTGAATGCTTAAGAGTTCAGGTTTGAGGGAAGGGCATTGGGAACGGAGGTTGCACTCTTCCAGGGATTCTTCCAGCTCTGATTAACCAGTCTCTGCCTCTCCTGCTGACAGAGTTGGTCTCTGTGCTACTGCAGCTCAGGATTTCCAGGGGGCAAAGGCCTTCGGGCTTCCCCAAGAGGCCCTGTCTTCTCCCGGCAGTTTTGCTAGAGTCAGTGCCCCAGCATGCCCTGGGCCATGGAGCAGGTCAGAGGGCTCTGTCCTGGTCTCTTCTGCCTGGGAAGTGTTGACACCATCACTCACACCCATCTTGATCTCTTTAGCATCCCCAGCGGAAGAGATGGTGGCCAGGAGAGAAAGTCTTGAAACTGGTACTGGAGTGTTGTTCTCGACGATAGTTTAACTCTTTCAATAAACTATCTCTCAATAGTTGATTGAAAGGATAGCAAAGCACCCTGACAGGTGGGACTTAGTGAAAGAGCTGTGTCAAAGAATGGCTGAAGTCTAGGAGGTGACATAGGGCTCTACCTGGCTTAGGTCCAACTCTTCTACCTTGAAACTATATTTGTGATTGGCTGGTGCCTAGTCAACTTCTCATTAAATCCAACCACCTGTTCGTCCCTCTCCTTATCAAACTGGACATTCCAGGAGGGTTTGATCAGCTTGTCCTGGCCTTGGGACCCCCTCCCCACACTGTGCAGCTTTGTCTTGTTATTTTAGTAAGGTTTATTAATGTTATTTTATTAAGGTTTAGTAAGGTTATTTTTTTGAGAAGCCCGTTGTTTCCCACACCTCTTTAGCTGTCTGCTTTTAAAGTGCCTCTCTCATCCAAAATGGAGTCTCTTCTGTCATTGCTTCCCTTAGAAAACCATCTTGTTTTCCCCTCACATTTCTTCTGCAAGTGCAAAGTGGGAGTTCAGGCTTTATTTTGCAACAGACTTTCTGTATTAAGTGGGACACACTGTT